TCATCGCGAATGCGACTACGACTGCGAGAACAGCAGAATTCGACAACTGGATTTTCATCTGAATCTTAAGGGGAATGCTTTCAGATATGCTTCTACACATCGCTGTTAGGTTGCTTTGCCGGGATAATTTCCATGTGGAGGCAATCCCCTGTGCTGGTGTTGGTGCCAATTTCCAGGCCTCCAATGGAGGGCAGCTGCTCGGTCCAGAGATCGAATGGGAGAACAGCGATGAGGGCGAGAAGTGGTTGTTTAGCCGGTGGCTCGACGAAGGTTCCCCCCCCCCCCCCCGCAAGCCCGCACCCCCCCACCTCCGCGTGCTCCGAGCCCTCGGAGCCTTCGGCCGATCGTCCTCGGCCGGAGGAGGGTCTTCTCATGGGAGAACCAGAATGCCCATACCAGTGCCCCTCCTTGGCTTTCGCATTCTTCAGGGCTCTTGGGGGGCCCTGATGGCCACGGCCCGCCTTGGAATTCTGGTCACAGGGAGAAGATCTGGGGAGTGGCGGTATCAGTATCGAAGACGCCTACGGCGAATCACCGCCGCCCCCTGCCTTTTTGGACGCGCCTATGTGGCCGAACGTTGAGGCCAGACCTGCCAAGCTATCGGACCATGAGTTCCCCGAATCGATTTGGAAAGCCTTCGGGGAACACGTGGGCATCTTGAAGGTCATCTTGGCCGTCTGGAGGCCATTTTGACCCTTTCGGGCCTTCTTGGAGGACGTCTTGGAGGGCTCTTGGGCCGTCTTGGAGGCCATCTTGAGCGTCGGAGACCTCTTGGGGCGTCTTGGGGACCTCATGGGGCCGTGTCTTGGGTCTCTTGGGCGATCTTTGGGGGCACTTGGGCCGTCTCGGGCCGTCGGAAGGCCGAACAAAAAGCAAATGCCACAATCCTTCAAAAACCAATGGGAAATCAATGATTTTGGCCTTTTCGGGCCTTCTGGAGGCCCTCTTGGAGGCCTCTTGGGCCGTCTTGGGCCATCTTATGGCCATGTTCGGCCGTCTTGGTGGGCTCCTGGTCCGTCTGACGCCGTCAGAAGCCGTTTGGGGGGCCTCTATGGGCCGACTTGGGGCCCTCTTGGAATGCTCCAGGGCCGTCTTGGAGGCCATCTTTGGCGTCTTAAAGGCCTCCTGTGCCGTCTTGGGGGCCTCTTGGGGCCCTCTCGGGCCGTTCTGGGGCCATCTTAGAGGCCTCTTGGGCGATCTTTCGGTGATCTTTTTGGGGCTCTTGGGCCGTCTTGGGCCGTCGGAAGGCAGAAAAGAAGCAAATGTCAAAATCCGTCAAAAACCTTGAGACAATCAAGAATTTTGGCCTCTTCTGGCCTTCCCGGAGGCCCTCTTGGGGGCCTCTTGGGCCGTCTTGGGCCAGCTTCGAGCCAACTTCGGCCATCTTGGTGAGCTCCTGGCACGTCTGACGCCGTCGGGAGCCGTCTTGGGGGCCTTTCTGGGCCGACTTGGGGCCCTCTGGGGCGCTTCGGGGCCGTCTTGGAGGCCATCTTGGGCGTCTTGGAGGCCATCGTGGGCGTCTTGGAGGCCTCTTGGTCCGTCTTTGGGCCCTCTTGGGGCCGTCGTGGGAGCTTCTTGGGCTGTCATGGGGCCATCTTGGAGGCCTCTTGGGCGATCTTGGGGGCCTCTTGGGCCGTCTTGGGCCGTCGGAAGGCCGAAAAGACGCAAAGTCCAAAATCCCTCAAAAACCTAAAGGAAATCAATGATTTTGGCCTCTTCGAGCCTTCCTGGAGGACCTCTTGGAAGCCTCTTGGGCCGTCTTGGAGGCCTCTTGCGGGGCTCTTGGGCCGTCTTAGACCATCTTGAGGCCATCTGGCCGTTTTGGATGTATTTTGGGGCCACCTTAGCCGTCTTGGAGGCCATCTGGACTGTCTAGGAGGCATCTTGGAGGCCATCCTGGGCCATCTTGATCGTCTTGGGACCATCTTGGGCCATCTTGGGACGGAACAGGCATTAACTTGTGCAGCTTCCGGGTGGCTGGCGGGACGCGCCGGAGCCCCAGGGGGAGTTCTCTTGGAAAGAGAACAAAACCAAAACCCATATAATTTGGCACGCCAGGCACCCCTGCGATGAATCGACCGGGGGCGGCGGATCCAGCTGCCCGCGGCAAGTTCTGCCACCGTGCCAGCGCAGCACTCACTCTGTGGCGACGCTTGGAGTACCGACCAGGAGTCCGTAACATGCGAGACCTCTTTCGTGTCTATTCTGTGACGGCTCTCATGGGGCCTACTTGACCCTCGTAGGCTTTCGCGGATTCCCTCTCGAGTCCTCTCGGGGCCGTCTTGGGTTGTCTTGGGCCCCTCTCGGCCGACATGGGAGTCTCTTGGGGTTGTCTTAGAGCCTCTTGGGGCCCTCGTGAGCTTTCTTGGGTCCCATCTTGTGCTGTCTTGGGGTCCTCTTGCGGCGTCTGGGGACTTGGCTCGCATTTTGGGTTCTTTTGGCCTCACTTTGGTTCCCGCTAGGCGCTCTAGCAGAATTTTCAGCGGGGAGTCCCGGGAAGCGGCAAACCCCGCCACCGTGCTTGTGCAACAGCGTAGCAGGAAGGAGTTTGAGTTCTTAACGCGCCGCGTATCCCCATAGCCCATTCAGGAACGAAACCAAGGGGAGCTGCCCTTCTCGGGGGAGCGTGGCATCATTTGGAAAGCTCGGGGCGCCTCTGTGGGCCAGAGGCCTCTTGGATGCCTCTCAGAGTCTCTTGCGATGTCTTTCGGGGACTCTTGGAGGCCTCCTTGGGGCGTCTTGGGGACCTCCTGGCGGGGCGTCGGGGCCTCCTATAGCAGCTCTTGTGGGCCTCTTGGGGCGCCTTTGGGGACGTCCCGGAGGCCTCTTGGGTTGGCTTGGGGGCCTCTTGGTGGTCTTCAGAGCCTCATGGGGCGCCTCTTGGGTGCCTCTTGGGTGCCTCTTTCGGGCCTCTTGTGGGCCTCTTGGGGTTCGCCTTGGGGCCTCTTAGGGGGCCTGTTAGGGGCCTCTTGGGGGGGTCTAGGTGCCTCTTCGGCACCCCGCTCAGGGGGCATGGCTTGACCCCGCTCGGGGTCATGTTTTGACCTTCCTCGGAGGGGCCTGTTTTCGTGTGGTAAACTGCTTTAGATCGGCTTCGGAGAAGGGGGTGTGCTTTTCTGAGCACGCATGCTTCGGAGGGGGGGGAGAGTCGGCCTTAGAACATATGGAACAAAGCTTACCAGGTAACAGAGGAGCACTCAAATACGCCCACTCCGTGCAGGCACGGTGGCGGATTGAAGGCAAGAGCTCTTACATTTGGCCTTCTGAGCCGTGCAGCGCCCAGCGATGCGCCAGGCCACCCGAGGGCGAGCGGGCGATGCACCCACTGCTGCGTGGCGTGGGGGGGGACTTCGAAGACTCACAGAAGCCCTGCAGGTGGGGGCGCGCACCAAGAAACGGAATACTTTTCGTCAGGGTACCCCTGGGTTTCTTCGCTCCGCGCGCTCGCGGTGGCTTCCCGTGGCCGTTGAAGGGAGTCGTTGCGTTCAGGGTGCTCTGGGCTCCCCCCCACTTGCATCTCGCGCTTGCGGGTTTAGGGCCAGGTTTCTTGCGAGAGGGTTTCTTGCGGCCGCGCCTGCACTGCACCAGGTGGCACTTGAACGACGCAAAGAAACGGGGTCGTCTGTGCCGACGTTGGCGCGTAAGCTGCCCGCGTAAGGTCGCGCGCCAGCGCCCTCGTCTTCACTGGTGTGCCGCGCCGGCGGCCCGCGTAAGGCACCGCGTAAGGTCGCCATCTCGCGTAAGACCCGTTTTTGGTCGTCGCTCATTTGGCATGACGCCTCACCGTTCCAGGGCTCCCGGCGGCGGATTTTTCTCTTCCCCCTTCTTTGTCGCGGTGTCAGTCGGAAGGAAGGGTGGGGTCTGGACCTCCCCGCCTGGGCACGTCCGGGGGAAGTCTTTCTCTGATGCGGGGTGTCCCACGACCGGGGTGGCGGGAAGGTCTGCAACGGCTCGCCTGGGAGGGATAACGCGCCCGCCCCACATGAAGATGAATTCCGGAGTACCCAAGGCACGAAATCGTGTGCCAGCTTTTGCAGTGGCGGTGGACAAAACATTTGCTGCTCGCAGGTGGATCTTCCCCACCAGCAGCCTGCCGGGCAGTCATCCTCACAGCGACATGCTTGAGCTTCTAGCTTGTCCAGGTAGCGTTCTTCTACTCGTTCCCAATACGTGTGCCGCAAGCCTTTGCGCAGCTCTTTCGCAGCGCTTCCTGGGATCGTCCGCAGCTCGCGTTCCAAGCATGCCGCTCATGCTTTCAACCCTTGCCTTACCAACGACGGTCTTCTGTCGGTGGCAGTGGCAATTTCACCAAGCGGCTGGTGCATGAGCGGGCCTAGCTTAGACCCCGATGGTGTATACACATTTTGATTGGCAAGCAGCCCGGGGACGAGCGATGACGATCGACGACTTGAACGGACGAAGACCACCACGGCGGCACATCTGCGGTGTGCGGCGACGACGACGTGCGGCGCATGACGCTCGAGGTACGACGACCGACGACGACGGAAGACGACGTACGACGACGACGGCACCGACGCCGACGCCGACGACGACGACGAAGACGACGACGACGAAGACGACGACGACGAAGACGACGACCGACGACGACCGACGACGACGGAAGACGACGGAGGACGATTTCGATGACGACGACGACGACGATTATGACGACGACGACGACCGACGACGATGGAAGACGACGGACGACGACAACGGCGACGACGACGATTACGACGACGACGACGAAGATGACGATCACTCCGACTACGACGACGACGGAAGACGACGATGACGACGACGAAGACGACGACGACAACGATGCCGACCTACGACCGACGACGATGGAAGACGACGGACGACGACGATGACGACGACGGTTATGACGACGACGACGACCGACGACGACCGCCGACGACGGAAGACGACGGACGACGACGCGACGACGACGACGATTACGACGACGACGATTACGACGACGACGATGACGACGACGACGATGACGACGACCGACGAAGACCGACGATGACGGAAGACGACGGATGACGATGACCACGACGACGACGATTACGACGACGACGACGGAAGACGACGACGACGACGACTACGACGACGATGACGACGACGACGATCACGATGACGGCGTGCGGCGTGCGGCATGCGGTGTGCGGCGGCGGCCATGGTGACGACGGTGTCCTTCGGATGCGCGCTGCGGGCCGGGCCCTGGCGAGGAGTCGGAGGCGCGGCAGCTGAGCAGCGTCCTGGTGTACGACGCCAAGACGGACGAGTGGTGGCCGCAGGCGTCCCGCTCGGCGCGGGGTGCCGTGCGGAGGTGGTCCTTGCATATTGCACCCTCGGGGGGCCCTCTCCTGCTGGAGTCGGCGGGGGGCCCGGGGTGGCCCATGGCACTGGTTTTTCGGCCAGAAGGAGGGGGGGCGAGGTTAGAGGTTCTGGGTTCCAGACGTTTTTTTTTTTTTTTTTTTTTTTTTTTTTTTTTTTTTTTTTTTTTTTTTTTTGTTTTTTTTTTTTTATTTATATATATATATATATATATATTATTTAAACAAATATTATTATTATTGTTATATATATATATACATTTATTTGTTTGTTTGTGCTTCTCTTCGGTCTCCTGGGGCTTCTTTCGGACCCCGGGACCGTCACAAAAAGAATCCGGGGTGAGAAACTATGGCATATGGGCCCCCAGAGGTGTCTGGAGACAGATTTTTGACGAGATTTGGCCTCATCCCCCCGTCCTGACCGATTTTCTTGGGTGCCAGCCAGCTCAGACCCGCGGGACGCCTCCAATAGTCATGTCCTGTAAACTGCAGTCTTTCCTTGTACTCCGACGTGGGTTCAACGCGGGCTCGACGCAAATTCGGCATGGATTCGGCACGGATTCGAGATGGAGTCGACGCGGATTCGACGCGTTCGACCTGGATTCAAGGCAGATGCGACACGGATGACTGGCGCGATGTGACAGGCGAGGTCCCCCAAAGATGCAGCATAGGGGTCCCCCTCCCTCTTCCTCCCCGCCCCTCGTCCTCGTCGCCCTCGTCGTTGCTGTCCACTGGCACCAGCGGCCCAATACACAGCAGAAAACCGAATCCCCGACACAAGCCGAATCCATAGTGTCTCTGATCATGTCGACACCACGAATGTCATCCTCACCAGCAAGTCCAACTCCGTACTCGTATCTAGTGGCCTTTGGCCCATCCCGCTACCGTGCCTGGATTGTGGGTCAGAGTTCTCAGGAATGCTTCTTCGGGTAGATTGGGGCCGCCTCGTAATCTCGGGAGCTTCTTTGGGCCTTGGGGGCCTCATGTGGGCCTCTTGGGGGCCTCTTGGGGCCTCCTGGGGGGCCCTCGGGCCCGAGGGCTTGAAATGTCCGTCTGGGTTCTCCATCTGGGCCTCCTCTTGGGGCCGTCTTTGGGCCCTCTTGGACCGTCTTGGGCGCCTCTTTGGCCCTCTTGGAGACCTCTTGGGCCGTCTTGGGGCGATCTCGGGGGCCTCGAGGGCCGTCCTGGAGCGTCGGAAAGCCGAGAAGGCGAGAAGTCCAAACATATTTAAACAATTTCTGCGAGTCAATGCTATTGGCCTCTTTGGGCGCTCTTGGGGCGCCTCTTGGAACACTCTTGGAACGTCTTCGGGGCCTCTTGGGTCAACTCCGTAGTCGTATCGACAACATAATGAGGTTGTTCTCACAAAACTGACGTTTCATGCGTCCGTCCGCCTCCACACCTTGGCTACTGTTAGAGTGCTTTGCTGGGATATTTCTCTTCGGGGATTCTTCTTCTGCTTGGGCATTGTTCTTAGTTCTGTTTTCTCACCGTCTGGATAGCAGGGCGTGCGGGCGGCTTGAGACGTTTTTTGTTCTCCGTTTTTTTGCCCCAGGCATTTGTTCTCACTTCGAGCGATGAGGACAACAAACAGCTGGACCAGACAAGCTACGGCACGACAGCTGCCTCGCTGGCCCCAAGACGCCCCCTGGCCCAAACTTCCCCAGGATGCCCCAAAGGAGGCCCCATAGGCCTTCCGAATCGTGAAACTATCGTCGTGTGCATCGGTGGTTGGTGGCAACACTGCCCTCAAGAGGCCCCGAAGACGCCCCCAAGAGGTCCCATGCTCGAGTCGTTGCCGCCGCAGGCCCCGCGCGAGGCGTGTGCCGGGGGTGTCCCGCTGCCTTCCGAACAAGAAGACAAGCAGCAAACTACATAGATTTTCGAACGCCCGTGCAGACTTTGTGGGTCTGCGCTGGTTCCCCCTCCAGTGGGGAGGGGGATCAGCGCCGATCCAAGAAGTATAACGCGGACCTCCGACGGTTTACGTGTATGCAGTTCTATTGCTATCCAGCTGCCTTCGGCAAGTCCCACCACCGTGCTAGCCCAGCATTCTGGGTGGCGACTGCTCGAAGAGGCACGGTAGGCCGTCACGTGTGGCACCTCGTGTCTGCAGGCTTCAGGGAGCCGTGAGGATGATGAGAACTATGAGGATGATGGGGGTGATGCCGATGACCATGCTGATTGCAATGATGATGCTGATGATGATGATGTTGACGTAGTTGTGAATGATGGTGATGGTGATGCTGCTGCTGATGATGATGGTGATGGTGTTGGTGACAGTGACTTATTGACGATGATGGTGATGATTGTGATGATGCTGACGATGACGATGGTGAGGATGACGCTGATGACGGTGATGTTGCTGATGTTGATTCTGCTGATGCTGATGACGATGACGATGCTGTTGGTGGTGATGACGCTGATGGTGATGATGATGGTGATGGTGATGATGGTGGTCGTGATGCTTACGTTGATGGTGATGCATTCGATGCTGATGCGGCTGCTCATGATGACGATGATGATTATGATGGTGACGCTGACGACGCTGACGATGACGATGACGATGGCGTTCACGATTATGATGATGACGACGTTAGTGCGTGCACGGGAATGATGTGACAGGTTTTTGGGTGTCGTGTCCAGGCTTGTCCCCCTCGCGTTGCACTCCGCAACCGATTGGGCTCAAGCATCAAAAGGCAGGGTTTCTCGCTCGATGGCAATCACGCCATCCCAGGCGGCAGTCCTCGCCTGGGTCGCGGTGATGGCCCCCTCGCTCTCCGGCTGGCTGGCCGCCGCAGCTGCCGGGCGCCCCGCGCCGGCGGGCACGGGCTCTGTGGGGCCTATCGAGTGGTGCGGGGAGCCTCCGCCCTGGGCTTGTTCGTGCTCCTGTACCTGTCCCTCCTCGGCGGCACCCGAGCCGCCGCCGCCCCCGCCGCCGGGACCACCGGCGCCGCGGGCGCCTTACGAGGCCGAGGCGCACGACGTTCCCTGGCCCATCGCGGTCGGTCTCTCCGACTCGTCGGAGGTCGCGCTGCTCACCTGCCTCGGGTTCGGCATCTTCGAGGTCGTGTTCGTGTTGTACTGGTGTCGGCGAGGCGTTCGTGCCGAACTTCCTCAGCGGCGTGTGATACATAATGGAGCTCGACTGGGTGCCGGGGACGCAGTTGCTCGTGTCGTTCGTCACTGACCCTGGGTTCAGGCACGAACGCATCATCGTCTGGCCATGTCATGAGGGTTCGTGGATTGTACACACGGAGAGGGGGCCACTTGTATATGGAGGAGGAGAATGACTGGGAGAAGGTGTACCTCATGGTGGCTGGGCAGCCGCCGAGGTCGCTGCCAGCAGACGGGGCCACGTTGGTGCAGTTCACGAAGCTCCCGACGGATGACGAGCTGAGGGGGCTCATCGTGGAGGCGCGCGCGGAGGTGGCGGCACTGCGGGCGGCCGATCCCGACCGTCCTGTGCCTGCCGACCCGCTCTACTTCCTCTCCGAGGATGGTCGGCGCTACCCGCTCGCCCGCCACCGTCTGCAGGGCAAGCAGGTCGGCCGTGCGAGTCCAGTGGCCGACGCGGCGGCCGCCGACGGGGCCACTGAGACGGCGCCGCCGCTTGCGGGCGCTCCCGATGACGCGGTCGCCCAGAAGGCTGGGGCCCCGGGCGTGGAGGACCAACCGCATCGCTGGGTCGTCAGCGAGCTGGGCCTCGTCTGGGAGCTAGGTACGCCGGTGGCGCACGGACGAGTGAAGGCGAAGCTGGGTAATCGGGGCGTGGCTGACGTCAACGGGGAGACCGTCCCAGTGCAGCTCGTGCCCGAGGCGGAGGTCGGCGACTACGCGGCCATGAAAGCCTCTGCCTTCGAGCTTGCGATCCGTGATGCCCGTGGTGCGCCCACCGACTTCGGTCGCCGCGTTGGCATCGTGCCGACCGAGGAGCGTGGCACGGTGACGCCGGTGGGCGCCGCCTCTGAGGCGGCGGGAGAGCCGGGCGACGCCCGCGCGCTCTGGGTGGACACTGACGCTCAAGGCATACGGTTCAAGACATGGCGTAACGTGGTGATCGAGAGTTACCCCGCCGTGTGGACCGACAGCCCCGTCGAAGGCCCGTCCAGATTGATGTACATCCTCAGGCACTCCGATCGCCACGGGGGCAACATCAGGATGTGGCTCGACATCTGGGCTCGCTCGGAGAACATCGGGCCAGGCGAGCGCTTGTTCCACGAGCTGTCCGTTCTCTGCGAGGTCATATAAGTCGGGGGTGCATGCGACCAGCTCAACATGCCCTCGCTGGTGAGCTTTGAGGTTATCGCGCGTCGCATCCAGAGCATTGTGGGCGCCTGCTCGGGCGATCCTTCTCGGCCCCAGTGGGCCAGCGCGAGGCTGTGCTCCGGCGTGGGCTCGGCGGTGGACATGGTGGCGCCCGAGCCCAAGCGCTACGTTGCCAAGAGGGCCAAGGACGAGGCCGAGGTCGAGTCCATGCGCGCCCGGGCTCGCAACCTGCCCGTGGCCGTCGATGCCGTCGCTGTTGGTGGTCTTCCTGCCGCTGGACGCGGTGCTCCTGCTCCGCCGCGGCGGGCCAACCTCCGAAGGGAACGGGCCGAGGCGCCCCGAAGGGAGGCAGAGGCGCCGCCGCCGCGGCGGAGACCCAATGAGAGACATGATCCTCGGCGGTGGGACTGGTCCCCCTGCCGCCGTTCGCCTTCCTGGGCCTGCGCGCGGATCCGCGGAGATGTTCCCGCTGCCCGACGACCCCTCTTTCGCTGCGGACTTCTGGATCCACCTTCAGGGGCGTGCCCAGCGCCGGTTCGTGAGGGACTGGCGGCAGTGTGTGCGCTCGCTTAATTGGTTGTGGGGTGCTGGACATCGCGAGCTCGCTGCTCGTGCTCAGTGTGACGTTCACCCATGCCGTCGTCAACTTCAACAGGAGGTGCTCGTGCGAATTGCCCAGGGGGCCCAGACCT